GGCACCCACCCCTCCCCGTGCAGCACGCTATCAACCGGCAGGGATGTCATTGCTGCCTGCGTTGAGTTGCACTGCCTTTCTGGCAATACACTGCTCGGAGAGGGACATGAAAGGACGGGAGTTGCTGTTTTATTACCAGGTAACCCAAGAGGCACAGGAGAACAGGGTGTTCAGGATACATAAATAATAAAACAAAAGATGTGCAGCAGAGCGAGGGCATGCACAGTGCCTGCTGAGAGGCAGCGAGCTGGAAGGATGCGCTGGGTTCATCCTGCACGACGCCGGCTCGCTGCAGAAACCGGGGGCAGAAAAACAACCTGGAATATCATGGGAGCCCTGGGCTGTTTGCAGGCAATCTGGAATAAACCGTGTGCGGTAAAATTGCCATGGAAACACTGTACCGGTTGTGTTCAGCCTCGAGGCTCTCCGGCGCAGGACTGGGCAGAGCTATGCGATCCACAGAGCTAATCCCGTTTGTTGTGGGCGAGGATTTGGTCTGCGGTACCAGATCGCCGAGGATGCTAACGTGACCGTACAGGCAGTTTTTATTTCTGATATTCCGTGACATCGCTGTCTGCTTAGCCATTCTTCTGTGGAAAAAAAAAAAAAACATTAAACACATTGGTAAGAACAAAATATGTGCATCATTGTTCAGGGGTACGATACTGAGATGCCGCAAACCCAACCCTGCCAGGAGGACGGACACATTTAAGCATATAAAGGAGAATGGATACGCCATTTTCTTATGGAAACGGCCTCAAGCTGCGCCAGGGCAGGTTTGGGTTGGGTATTAGGAAAAACTTCTTCCCCAAAGGGCTGTCAGGCCCTGGCCCAGGCTGCCCAGGGCAGGGGCTGAGTCCCCGTCCCTGGAGGGATTTAAAAGCCGGGGAGATGTGGTGCTTGGGGACATGGTTTAGTGGTGGCCTTGGCAGCGCTGGGTTAACGGTTGGACTCGATGATCTTAAGGGTCTTTTCCAACCTAAACGATTCTGTGATTCTGTGATTCTATGATTCTTTACCCCTGCATTGCATAACTGCAAATCCCGAACAGGAGCTATGTGCTATTAACGAGTCTCTATTACCTTCCATGATTTTGTTTACATTAGAAGAAAACTCTCATTTTGGGGGCACAGACAGTTATCTGCCATTTCACAGTTGCAATTACGCTACAGGTGGGAATGCGGGGTTTCCTAACAGCGGCGCACAGAGCAGGGCCTTTCTCTGAAAGCAGGAGCAACGCACGCATACGGTCATACACATGCGTACGTGGATGCATACGCGCGTTTTGGCTGGGAAGAAGTCATTCCCCCAGCTGAGCCCCGCCACGGTCCCCGCTGGCTCTGGCAGCTCCCCGCACACGAGCCGGCGGCTGCCGGCAGCCTGGCAGCCCTTCTCCTCCCAGCCTGGCTCGTATTCATCGCTGGCAACGTGGCCTCTCCCGTGGTTTTTAGCCCCCAGACTGTTTGCTGCTGCTCAGTTTGGTCTGAGCATGCTGTGCCTCAATTAGGCGAAACGATACACAAGGATGAAAACTTAGAAATGTTGGCTTTGCTTCACTTGCAGATTAATTTCCTATTTTCTGGCTTTCCTCCACGGCCATACGGACTGGAAGTTTTGTCATTAGTAACAGATGAAAACAGAGATTTCTGCTGGCAACATGCATGGCCGGTGAGTGCGGGGAGGCTCTGCAATCACCCCAAAGCGCCCGGCAGAGCCATGGTGCCGGGCCCCTGCGCAGCACAGTCCAGAGTTGGGCCGGCTTCTTCGCTATTGCTCTCCGTGACAGCACGAAAGCAGATGGGACGCAGTTTAACTTTCCTCTAGCAACATAATTAGCTTTAAGAATTCTTCTGGTGGCTGATTAACCCTGAAATACACTGGACTTAGTTGTCATCTCCCATGAGGTCAGTGTTTTCTCCAGGCAAACACAGCAAATCTCCATAAGCGCGATCTAAGCCATATCACCTATAATCTTTTTATATGATTGCTCTGCTCTGGAGTTGCTCGGGCTGCCTGGCATCTGCTGTACGCACAGCGGTGCCTCGGAGCCAGCTAACCAAAGTCCTCTCCCAGGGAAATATTTGGAAGCCAGATCATCGCTCTCTGACTTCGGATGCATTTGCGAGATCCTGAGAAGTTTCAAACCCTCCACGCTGTGGTTATTCCTGGTAAAGAAATAACAGGAGGAGACTTTTGTCTTTTATGAGGCTGTTCTATCGGTTCTTCAGGGAAATAATCATGGAGGAGCATTGACACCTGATAGAATGATAATTCTCCTATATAGATACCTGAAGGGAAAATCCCGCTTTTAATCATGGCTACATAGCTGAGCGCTGATAACGCAGGGTGTGGGCACGGCTCCCGCTGTCCTGTGTGAAACCACTTCATGAGGTTCAAGGTTTCACGTGCAGAAAGAGCCTGCCTGCTCTGATGGCAAAAAGTCACCATTCAGAATAATTTAAAGCTTTCATTAAGCACATGGGGAAAAAAAGGAGGCAAGAATTGAAGCATTTAAGCATGAAGTTTCATTTTAATGACATCTCTTACTGCCTTTCCAAAGAGCTACCGAGTTTTTGTGAGAAAGGCTCCTGTTTGGCAGGCTTTGGAGAGGTATTTAGCATGGCCATTGTCCTTTTTTGGGGGGAAAACAAAGGTTTTATGGGCTGAAGCTCCTGTTATGCTGGGCTCTGGCCTTCTTTCCTTAAAGACAAAACACAAAGGAGGAGAAAAGAGCAGCGAAGGTATGAAAAGCAGGTGCTGCGCCGCATGCTGACCCTCCGGTGCAAGCTCACTGCAGGAGCCACCCTCATCAGTTATGCAGAGATCTGGAGAAATGTGCCGGCATCTGGCCGTTTGGGACACGGTTTTAATCAGACTGCTGGGCTCAGGATGGCATCAGCGCTGCTACAGATGCCACCTCTTTATGTGCAGATGCGGGAGAAAGAGAAAAAAATCAGAACGGGAGAGGAAACAACATGGGGGGTGGGTGGCATCGGGGACAGAAGCCACGGGGTGAAGCCAGAGCTGGGGGGAAGCGTGGAGCTGCGTCTTTCTGCTCTTGGGTTGGGCTGGCAGGGTTACCTCTGGTCCTGCAAAGCCCAGGACATGGCAGCTCAGGTCGTAGGGCCCTTTCCTACTGCCTCGCAGGCCCGCTCCTTCTCCGAGCATCAGTACCAAAGGATGGATCCCCCAAATCCATCCAGAGACAGAGTATCCCACTCACTTACTGTTTGATTCATCTATTATGTCTGATTTCCTCACTCGAACTTTATCAGTGTCCAGACCCTTCTTCTCCTAGACGAGAAACAACCTTAGGAGAGTCCTTTAGTGATAACAGAAGACTTATGTTGACTTACTTTCTTCTTCTTATCTTTATCTTCTGTTGACTTCTATCAGTAATTTACTGTAATAGACCCACACTGAGTCAGACCTCTGGACCAGAGGATTTGTTTGTGTCTGCAGCCAAGGAAGAGGTCCCTTCAGGACACTGACTCGAGAGCTTTGAAGGGGAGGGATGTTAAACAGATTTCCAAGCTTTCATACAATGGATCATTCCCTTCTATATTTACAATTTTCAGCAACATCCTTTGCTGTGCTGCTTGGGTATCCCAAACCGCCTGCCCATGTCTTTGTCATCCCCCATTGTGTCTTCCTCTCCCTTCAGTCTCTCTTTCCACCTCACCCGGGAGCCTGTGCCGCTCACAAGCCTGGCGTTTCATACCTCCCTTCACGTCCCGCATCCCCTGGGCAGCGGTCCCACCGCCCTCCACCCGTCTTCCCGAAGCCTGGCATCCCTCTGCAGTGCCTGCTGTCACTATGGCAACCTCCGCGAGGATGCTCTGCGGGATGAGGATGCTCTGCGGGATGAGGATGCTCTGCGGGATGAGGATGCTCTGCGGGATGAGGATGCTCTGCGGGATGAAGATGCTGCTCTGCGGGATAAGGATGCGCTGCGGGATGTGGTCACCGCCGCAGCCTTTTGCTTAGGGACAGGCAACTCAGAACTGAAGCGGCCTGGGAAGGGGAGATGGGGGTTAAGATTCTCCTCCTAATGGGAATTTAATTGCTGCTGAAGCCCATCTGGAAATGCATCCGAACAACGGGCTCATCCCCCGGGGCAGCGCCGTTTCCATCATCCTTTCAGAGGGAACAGATAGCGCCCTCAGCAGGGTGAAGGCTGCCTGGGAGGCTGAAGGAGGGGCACAACCAGGCAGGTTTTTAGCTTTTCCTCCTATGTATCACCCAGGAGGCAGAGAGCACCTGTTTAGTGAGGCGGTAAAAGATATACTGTACATTTTTGTTTACCTCAAGCAAAAGGAGGGAGCCTCCACCCAGCCCTCCCTGCCTCCACCCTGACTCTGCTCAGGCCTCCCGAGGGCCAAGCGCTGTGTGACAACTGAGCGTCACGGGGCCGGTAACACCACCCCGGGAAGCCCGGAGCGGGGGCAGGACGGAGCCGGGGCTCCTGAGACGCGGCTAACGGAGAGGGTATGCGGCGGGAAAGGCCGAGCCCCCCGCAGCTGGGCCGCCTGAGGGAAGGCAAAGCGGCCTCAGCCCCGGCCGCTTCCCCTCACCCTGAGGCGAAGTGGGCGCGCCGCGAGGGCTGCCGGGAGTTGTAGTTTCTCCCCGCCCGCCAGCCCCGCCCCTCCGCGGCCGGCGGGGGGGGGGCG